ATAAAATAAAATAAAATAAAATAAAATAAAATAAAATAAAATAAAATGGAGTCAAGCAGGGGCGGACCACTACCGGTTCGCACTGGTTCAGGTGAACCGGATATTAATTTTACATCTGGTTCGGCGAACTGGTAGTTCCGGTGACGGGCTGGCCCCACCCACCCTGCCCCTCCCCTCCCAGGTGTCCCCACATGACCCGTTTTGGATCACAGGTAAGTGCAGGATCCGTGCAGAGGTTTGGGGAGGGCGAAAAATGGGCCTACCAGAAGTTCCAGAAGGCCCAAAACAGGCCTGTTTCCGGGCTCCAGAGAGCCTCAGGACCCCGGGCAGAGCGTTTTCACTCCCAGGGGGATGCAGGAGGCCAACTAGGCCACGCCCACTGTGGCCAGGCCCACCCAGCAACCGGGCAGAGAACCAGTTGCTAAATCATTTGAATCAGGCCTGACTTTGTAACTATTTTCGCCGCAGTTGTTAAACAAATCACTGCAGTTGTTAAGTAAATCGTATGGTCCTTAAGTGAATCCGGCTTCCCCTCATTAATGTTGCTTTCTGTACTTTCCCAACCTCTCTAACCTCTCTCTCAGACTTGCTTACCTCAAAGCCATCGGGCGCCTGTCCTTCCTGACCGGGAAACGACGCCGTCATTCCCAGGAACCCAAACATTTTGTCCACCATGTCCGAATCGTTCACGGGTTCGTTCCGAGCCTTCTCCATCTTCTGAAGGAGTTCCTTCTTCCGACGAGCTTCCTCTTTCTCTTTGATCTCTCGTTCCGCGTCTTCTCGAGCCAGCTGGGCTAGGCGCACCTAGGAAGAAGGACAATGAGGAAAGAGAATAAGGGGTTTAAGAGACCACGGAGGTCTTCTAGTCCAACCCCGTGTCCATTCTGGACAAATGGCTCTCCAATCTCTGACCTATGATATGGAGGATAAATTGACGCCCTCTTCATAGAAGTATAGGGTTCGAAGGGACCTTGGAGGTCTTCTAGTCCAACCCCCTGCCTGAGGCAGGAGGCTTATACCACCCCAGTCAAATGAATGTCTTCCCCGGGGCAGCTCTTCAAGTATGAACATCTTGCTCAGTTACAGAATCTTGGAAAGTAGGTTTAAATGGACTTTAGCCCCTTTTGTCAGAAGAGATGTGAAAGCAGATCTTTCTTGATGCCGCTGATCTTCTTTCTAACTCTCCCTGGACTGATGGGGGAAATGGCTTCCCACTGAATACGAAGTCCATTTGTTCAGGTTTTGCATCCTTTTGCAAATATCCCTTCTCATTCCCAGGCTAGGGAACCTGATTGTAGATGTGGAGACTGTATTCCTCTCCAAATGGTATGGTCCTGCAAGGTCCCTTCCAACCCTAGGAGTCTATGATTCTAGGACCTCCAAGGTCCCTTCTAAACCCTAAGAATCTATGGTTCTATGACCTCCAAGGTCCCTTCCAACCCTGGGAATCGATGATTCTATGACCTCCGAGGTCCCTTCCAACCCTGGGAATCAATGATTCTATGACCTCCAAGGTGCCTTCCAACCCTAGGAATCTATGATTCTAGGACCTCCGAGGTGCCTTCCAACCCTAGGAATCTATGATTCTAGGACCTCCAAGGTCCCTTCCAAA